CGGCTCGTGCACTTGCGAGTATCACAAGTTGAGGATGCAGCTTAATCCATTTTGGTGAAGCTGAAATCCACACAACAAGTTCCGAATCTGCCTTGCTTGGCCGTTCCCCCTATTCCTGACCCACGACCTCTCCGTCGTTCCTGATGTTGAGACGGAGAACGATCTGAAGGAGATCTGGGGCTCCTTCCTAGTTTCGCGCGACCTCCATTGCGGCCTGTCCAAAGCCGGGGCCGAGGTGTATTTGCCGAACCTCGTGGCTCGGCAGTTCGGCCTAATCCAGACGGCCCCCCTCCTTCCTCTATCAACCAACCGGTTATCGTCTTGGAGGACCGACGTTTCCCAGCAGCACGGGGTGGCTGAGATCACCTTCCAGCTTCAAAAGGGAATGACCTTCCTGACTCTGACGTCTTGGTCGCGCCGCAATGCGTATGACGAGGATGGGAGGGTCTGGTATGAGGAGTGCATCTCGGCCAGATTTATTCGGCCTGTTGAAGAGGCCGTGAGGGCGGTCCTGACGAATGCAGATTGGGACCCTCTCACTCCCAAAGGCAGCAAGGTGAAGAAGGTATCAGCCGGGCCGCCCCGGCCAAGTGCTCCGGCCGTGGTCGCCTCCAGGGTGCCGGCCCCTCCCCTGGCTAGGTCAGTGGCCGTGGCCTCCACCGCGGCCCCATCATCGACCGCGGCCTCAGCTCCCAGGGCGACGCCTGTGGTGGGGGGACGAAAAACGCTGGCGCATAGGACCGTGCCAGCCTCACCAACGCCTCATCCATCCACTGCTGCGGGTAAGCCTCGCCTAACTTTTCCTTTTATTACCTATCCCTCACTGGTCTTTTCAAACCTGCTCTGTCTCTGGTCAACTTACTCCTCTCTTTTCTTTGTATGCGCAGCCTCGGGTCGCAAGTGGAGTCGAGAGGTATCAGGTGCCGAGGCCGCACCGGCCCAGAGTGCCGCGGCCGAAATGGCGGTCCCGCAACGACCGAGGAAGAGGACCCTTTTTACCTCCTCGAAGGGTAGAGGTGAAGAGGAGGCTCCTCCCGCGACTATGAGTGAGGCCCCCCCCCCGCGATCGTAAGTATTACTCCCTGGCATCCCCTTTCCCTCTTTTGTTCATTATGGTAATCTGGCTCTTCCCTCAGGACGTGGTAATAGTCGAAGAGGAGGCTACGGTCGAGGAGGCGGCCGATGCCCACATGGTGGTTGAGGAGGCGGGGGCCGCAGAAACGACGGTTGAGGGGGCAGCCGTCGACGAAGAAGTGGCTGAGGCGTTGGATGCTGAGATCGCGCCTGCAGAGGTGACACCCGCCGAGGATGCTGCAGAGGGGACGGCCGAAGAGATTGCTGAGGAAATCGCCGAAGAGGCCGCTGAGGGAGCTGCCGAAGAGGCTACCGACGAGGGCGATGAGGAGGCCAACGCAGAGGCCGCTGAGGAGGCAACTGACGAGGCCGCCGAAGATCCTGCTGTGGACGCCACAAGTGGGCCTTTGACGTCCACCCCTCGTCGCCCAAGCGGCATCTCCTTTCGCTCGGTACGAATTTGCCTTCAATATACTTAGTTTTCATTGTTCTTGTTTGATCTGTTTTTCACTTCTGACCGAATATTTGTCTCTAGCCTTCTCAATCGTCGCCGCCACTAACCATGGTTACCGCGACCATGCTCCTATGCCGTCGTTCCAAGACTCGATGGTCGTGGCAGAGTCGGGGATGACTAGAGCCACGGTCGTGAGTGTGCCGAGTCTCCTGCGGACTACTTCGGCGGTCATGATCGACCTTTCGCTCCTTGTGAGTATTCGACCTCCCCCTTTTTTGTTTATTCCTTTGTGTCTCAGTCAATTATCTCTTACCCTTGCTCCTTCTTATGTTCAGGAAACCTCCTCCTCCGATGATCTTGACGAGTTGTACGCCAGCCTCCATGAGGAAGGGGGAAGCTCGACCTCGGCTCCCTTGGACGAGGATTCCAAGACCGTTATCGAACGGCTCCGGGAGTTCCTTCTCCTCGATGTTCGGCAGATGACCGCTGCTGGGGCGATTTCGGAGTTTAGGTCCTGCTTGGACACGGCCATGGCGCTCGGTCTGCTCGACTCGGCTCAACTGGATGAACTGCAAGCCCGCCTGGCCGAAGGCGAGGAGATGATCGCCCGGTATTCTGAAGCCGTCATGCGGCTGGCCGAGGGGAGTTCGCTCGAGCAGGATCTGGAGGTGATTAAAGAACAAGTTCAACCTGC